ATGAATAGGCACAACCTTCTCTGTCATTTCTCGAACCAACTTTGGACCTATTATAGGTGCATCACCCATCTCGACTCAACACATAGGAGATCTACAAGGCCGGCCATATAAGGCCTTAAACGGTGCCATGCCAATACTCGACTGAAAACTATTGTTGTAGGCAAACTCCACTAAAGGCAAGTACCTCTCCCACGACCCCTTAAAGTCAAGAGCACAACCCCGAAGCATATCTTCTAGGATCAAAATGGTACGCACCGATTGCCTGTTAGTCTGAGGATGATATGCGATACTAAAAGTCAATCCAGTGCCTAAAGCATGCTGTAAGCTCTACCAGAATCGAGCCATAAAACGTGGATCTCTATCTAAAACAATAGTCACAGGGACCCCATGAAGTCAAACAATGTCTCTAACGTAAAGGTCGGCAAGATAATCTACCGAGTCACTCGTGCGCATAGGTACAAAGTGTGCTAACTTAGTTAACCGATCAATTGTCACCCAAATGGCATCATTACCCCATTGAGTCCTCAGAATACCCACAACAACATCCATCGTGACATGTTCCCACTTTCATTCGACTATAGACAAGGGTTGCAACAAACCCGCCCTGATGCTCGGGCTTCACTTATTGACAAGTAAGGCACCTCGATACAAACATGGCTACTTCATTCTTCATCCTCTTCCATCAAAACTGGCGACTAAGGTCGTGATACATCTTTGTGCCTCGTGGATGTACTACAAGATGGTGAAACTCTCGGAGCACTTTCTCTCTACAAGACTCTGGCACGAAAAGATGGTCAAGGTATCTAACACTCAAGTCAGAATACACATTCAAGCCCTTCTCTACCTTCCCACTAGAGATCTTCCCCCGAAGCGTTTCTACCTCATGATCACCCCTCTGTGCTTCTATAACTCGGCTCACAAGTGTAGATTGTACAATTACAGTAAACAAGGTAGCCGACTCAATAGACTCTCTAAGATGCAAGTTAAACTCACCAATAACACCCAACATCTCCCATTCTCGGATGGCAATACTCGCTACATTGCTCAGGGACTTTCTACTAAAGGCATCGGCCACTACATTGGCCTTTCCCAGATGATAATGCAACTTAAAATCATAATCATCCACAAATTCCATCCACTTCTTCTGTCTCAAATTTAGATCTTTTTGTTAAAACAGATACTCAAACATGACTCAACTAAATAGACTTGTGACCATTCAAAATCAAGTTTTCCACATTCGCCGACTCTATAAACGACAGGCTCGTGGACACCTTAAAAAAACCTTTCCCATATTCGTTTGACAATATGCTCAAGACAGGGCAATTGGGCACCTTATCTCATCGCGTGGGTACCAAATACAACACACAATCCATTACTCAAACCTGACTCAACTACCCAGATTTATACACTATTTACTCCCTTTTAACCTTTCCAAACCTCCACAAAAATTAGGATCACAAGAGAAATTATGATGTACATGATGTATGAGTTTATTTCAAATTCAATTTCTCTAGGGTTTGTTCAATTTACAACAACAAAATATAATATGAGCAACAATACTATTTAGTTCCATCATTTCCACCATCTCACATTTACCAATTAATATGTATAGATGTCAAAGATAGTTCAAAAAACTCATGTCTCAGCACTTTTTTCATAATCATTCACCCAATTCCAATATTCAAGAGTTAATTGAACCAAGCACCATTTTTAAATCAAATTTAAAATTAGGATTTTTTAAAAAATTGGGACTTTTCCTTCTTTTACACTTAAAGAGTCAATATCCATCATCCATAACAATAATCAACAAGAAACATTAAGAATCTCTTCCAAAAATATTAGGTATAAGCCACTTTTGTTTATCAAACCATTTTATAGCACAATACATATCATGTAACTTGATATCTAATGAAAATACCACATATGGGTCTCAAATCGAAGATATAACAAGTTAAAAGTATCCATACCTCAAGATTGAAGACAAGAGATGAAAACCCAACTTCAAACTTCAAGAAAATGAGAAATAATCGGTAGAACTATAAAATCAAGCTTGTTCTTCAACCCCTTTGGTAGATCTAAGGTGGATCTTGGGTAAAATTAAGGAAAATCAAGTGTTTTAAGGTTAGGGTTTTGGAAATGGGCGTTAGAGAGAGAAAAGATGTAGAAAAGTGAGAGAAAAATGGGTTTAGATTAACTTTTAACTATGTTGTCCTGAATAGACTGCTTGAACGAACCTTTTACTGCTCAAGCGAAGTCCTCAAAATCAAAGAGATCGCTCGAGTGAACTTTCCATCGCTCGAGCGGTAAATGCAAGGTCACAGAAGTTTTGCAAAGATACAGTGAAAATATTAGAAGTTTCATATCTACGCTTGAGCAATCGCTCAACTGCTTGAGCGGTCTCGCCTGCAAACAAGCAATATACTGGGAGTTTCGCATCACCGCTCGAGTGACTGATTAACTACTCGAGCGGTCTCCTAGGACAAATTGTTACATAGAAGATTATTGAGTCGTAAGTGAAATTTAATTGAGTAGTAAGTAAAATCTAATAGAGTAGTAAATGGAAACACATTGAGTAGAAGTAATTTCCAATTTCTTGTGATGTCATGATATTTTAACTCATTTTATAATTACCAATCCTTTATTAATTTCCAATTTCATAATTTGAAGTAAGAGTTAAAGAACTCTTCACGAAAAGGCAATTCAATCGCTGAAAATCACGGTCTCTATGCATGCTTCATTTTTTACAAAAGATTTAGGCTTGATTCTTGGTAAGAAGAGAGATTTCTAGAGAGAGAAAGTTAGGGTTTTTCAAAGCTAGGGAGAGGAAGAGGAAAGAGGAAAAGAAAAGTGAGAGAAAAGAGCAAAAAATAACTTTTTAAGTTTGTTGATTCGCGTAGACTGCTTGAGCGGTATTTCCACCGCTCGAGCGGTGAACTCAAGCTCTCAGCATTTCGGTCTGTAAAGAAAAGTACTAGATGTCCCATCTTCACCGCTCAAATGGTAAAACCACTAGCTAGAGCAGTCACCTTGGAAACAGATTGTCACACAAGCTTAGTTTTTGAGGCACGTCATGCACAACCATTTAAGTAAATGTTTTCATTTTTAGCCTCTTTATTTGTATTTCATATACCCCCTTATTTGAATTCAAAGAAAAAAAAATCAAAATCCAATTAAATCAAAAAGTGGTTCCCCAAATTTTAGTACAAAAATAATTTTTTGACTAAAATTTCTAAATTTGATATTGAAATAAAGGGTTAATATGTCGTAGAAAAATCCCATAAAATCAAAATTAGACTATTTAATATATGAGAAACAATTACCGTCAAAAATTATTTTCAAAATTGTACGTGTTGAAAAATCCACTTTCCACACTTAGAAAATTTCCAGGCTTAACTCAATTGTGACAAAATAACCTTTTTAATGCAACTATCTCTATATGAAAAAGAAATGAGGGTCAGGTCTTAACTGGTGCCGTTGCAGACCTTTTCAGTCATAATTAAAATAAGAATCATAATTAACATCACGATGAATTATACCAAGGATAATAACCAAATATCATTTGAGGCATGTAACTAAAGAACTCTTCAATCATAATCAAAATTAAAATTACAAGAGGTTATAATTAGGGTTTGGTTTCTCTCAAGTTGTCATATCAACTTAAGAAAGCGTTTGGACTTGATAGGTCCATTTTGGAATTGATTTTGATAATTCGAACCGTTCATTTTTTTTTTTTTTGGTTTATTGTGTAGAATATTCATGCAAAAAATTAAGATCGGTAGCTATATATTTGAATCATATTGTTTTAAAAAATGGACGATAAATATAATTTCAAGAATAACTATCTATTTTTTTTTTCGTAATGTAAATTTGATTATAACATATAGCTACCTATGTCCAATGATTTTGATTTTTTTGTATGAATATTTTACTCAACGAGTTCTAAAAATAAACGGTTCGGATCATCGAAACGGAACCTATAGTTGAGATCCAAATATGAAAAAAGCTCAACCCTTATAACTAAAGCATAATTAACATAACAATATGTCATAAACAAGTCATAGTCATTAACACAATGAGTTATAATAAAATGTGGTGTTTGTTTGGAAGGATTCAAACATGGAATGGGACGAATAGTCCACCTGGACTAATAGTACGCCTGGACTAATAGTCCGTTGTTTGATTCAAATTTTTTATGCCAGACTATGAATCCAAAATTTATGGGATTGTTCTATGCCATGGGAGGGTGGGACACAACCCATAGGATAACTCATCCCATGGGGATTAGGTAGTGAAATTACAATTTTGACCCTCTACTATTTAATATCTTTTTTAAAACAAAATTTATTTATTAAATTATTTATACTTTATTAAATTATTTATTTTAATAATCATATGGTATTAATTATACTTAGTAAAGTAAAATAAAATTTAAAAATCTCAACTACAAATTAAAATAAATTTATGTAATTTTTATTAATATTCAATTTATTTAATTTTTTAAAAGTTCTAGTAAAAAAATTTAATAAAATTTATAGCTCAGATTTTCATATTCCTATTATTTAGTAAACAATTCAAAAAGGCAAAATAGTCTTTTGAACATTTATCATTCTCCCTAATATCTCAAACAAACATAAGATTTAATAGTATAATCCAATCCAGACATCTAATCCCATGACTAAACAAACATAAGATACAAATCTAGTCCAACCAAATAGTTCAGGGATAATGTATCCCAGGACTAATAAGCTGGTGGATTACAATCCCCTTTATCCAATCCGTTCAAACAAACACACCCTTAGTGGTTACTTCTGAGGCCTATAAAAAATAAAAATAAAAATAAAAATAAAAATAAAAGTAGGAAGAAATGTTCACATAAATGACGGCTAGCAGGTCATCCAATTTTCTGTCTCTAGCTGCATTTTTGTAGCAAGGGGAGGGATGCCTTGGATAGTGTTAACAATAATTTATCAACAATTCAATATAACTTGGCCCTGTAATTAGTTTTTTTGACCTTTTCAAACTTGAATACAAAAGCACCTAGCTGCAATATATTGATGCATCAAAACTAACGAGTAAAAATTAACAACGAAAAATAAACAGAGTATGTTGAATTATGATACTAAGGGAAGAGTAAGAAAATATATTCCCCAGTTGTCTTCTTGACAGAAAAATTAACGAAGATTAGTCTGTTAAAATAAGCAAAGTAGGTTGAATTATAATGCTATGAAATTGAAGATATGCCAAATTTTGCTCAAACTTTTCTTCTATTTCACTGCTTTTATTTCAGATATGCTCAAATTTTAGGTTTATCCTATATAAAACATTATTCTAATTTCCTTGCATTTTCACTCATCTATACAGCAAAAGAAATCATACACACAGGGTTCTTTCACAGAAGCGTGACTGCTGAATATTAATAAATCATAGGGATGAGTTAAATCAATGGATCCAAACTTCAAGAGAACATTAAAGCATTTGAAGGCCATTCAATGAATGAAGCTGTAAATTAAAATGACCAGATTTTTTTATGCTATGCTTTATTGAACTTGTTAGCAACTTTCTAACTTTTAGTAGTTGGTTTCATTTTTGAGGAAATGAATGCATGTGTTTGTAGCTGATTAAAAAAATGCATGTGCTTGTATGTGCATGCAAAGAATTCAATGTCTATATTTTACCAAACCAACTTTCCAAAGCTTGAACAATTTAGTCAAATCTTTTGCCTCAGACAATTTTTCCAAATTTTATTGTAAAATCAAAGCAATTTGCACAAAAACCTTGAATCAGCTCATCTACCTCAAATGAGTTATATACACATAAAACTTAGACATGATTTTCATTCATGCTCAATGGGTAAATGAAACTTAAAATTAAATCACTTCAGAAAATGACCAATGATGGAAATCTGATAACAAATGATTTAGTACAAAAAACAATAAGTTTTCATTTGGTACCTTGTTCAATGATAACATCGATCACCTGCGACAGGGGTACATGCTTTTCTATTGTAATTACTCCCCAAAAGGGTATAAAGGAAGGCCTTGACACCTTGAAGCAGAAAAAAAAAAAACAAATAATTCGTTTCAAAATACTTTTACCCTTTCAAGATAGCAACACAAGGACAATTAAAAAGATCAATTACCTTGTAAATTATTTCATGAGGAGTAACATATAGTTTACGTGATGAAATATCCTTCTGAAGCACGTATCTTTTAATGGGCAGATACAGCAACATGATGATTCCTATTCCCCAAGCTAAAACCAGCAGCAAGGATATTGAAACCCATATAATGGTGTCATATTGCACATTTTTTGCGGCAAGTTCTTTGAAAGAGGCTGTGTACAGTATCTGCTCAGAAGTATCAACTTCTTCATCTTCACTAGCATCTGATACAGGACCAGAATGCAGTAAATCCTTTGATGAACCAAACTCTGGCAGCACATCTGAACGGCCCATCAGCATTCTACAAGTTCAAAAATTAACAATGAAATACATTATAAGATAGTTTATCGACAAAAACCTTAATTTATAGAGGGGTAAAAAACATGAATATTAACATAAATAGTATCTCTGTCTTCTGAAAATCAGAGTTTCAGATAATTATAAGAACCTAAGTTAATTCTAAACAGTGTAGGAAATAAAATTTGGGGAGACCCCGGATTTTGATGCTCCATTTGGCTGCTAAGAAAATTTGAGGAAGTAAAATAATGTTAAAAAGGAAATTAATTAATACTTCAACTCTACCCTTGTCTGGGACCCAAAAAATAAGTAATCTAAGGCAAGTTTTCCAGGCATAATCAGGATGAGCTTATATTTCTTCAAAACTAGACTAACGTAAAATATGTTGTCAAAATCTGTTTTGTTTTACTTGGGTTTTCACAGCAACCAAACTAGAAATAGCATTATTGATAACAACATTCAGATTTCAGTACATTTGAACAGATACCTATGTAGAACCTAAGTCAATTTTAAAGTGTATGAATAAAAATTGGTGAGACCCAACTTTTGATGCTTCATTTGGCTGCTAAGAAAATTTGAGGAAATACAATAATGAAAAGGGCATATTTGATTGAAGTATTTAGAAATAAATTTAAAAAGAGAAATTAAAAAGATATATAAAATTAAATTAAATATAAATATATTTTATTCATTGTTCACCTATTTCTATTCATTTCTAAATTTGTCAATCAAACATGGGTCAGGATTTTCTTATTTTTTATTGATAAATTATTGGTATAGTTGGAATGTCTATATCATTACAAATAGATATGACAAAAGATAGTGTCAATATATCATAATATATTAGAATAAATTATATGAGGGTATGACCTTAGATTGAAAGAAGAAGTAGAATAAGAAAAAAAAAATGGAGGGAGAGAAAATTTTCATAGCGAAGATGATATTGTCAGTGGCATTGGGTGGATTTGTAGTGTTGTTTGTCCATCTCTACAATGTTTTGGTATGGAAGCCGAGAAGGCTAAGATCAAAGCTTCAAAGCCAAGGTATCAGAGGTCCTTCACCCACTTTTCTGTATGGAAACATTCCTGAAATAAAGAGAATCCAACTTCAGATGCGATCCAAGTCAACAACCCCAAAAGACCACCGCCACCACGACGGTGGTGGTGAGATCGCTCATGATTGGCCTGCCACTGTGTTCCCACACATCGAGCAGTGGCGAAATGAATATGGTACTCTCTCTCTCTCTCGTGTGCTTTAATTTCTCAAGAACAAGCATGGTATTTGAAAGGACAAATTACCAACACCGCCTTGATTTTGATGAAAATACAGATTTTCTCTTCAAGACTTGAAAAATTACATACCCTTTTTAAGGTTTATATTTACGTAATTTGTTATGCAAATATATATCTCAAGAGGCGATTGTAATTTTTCAAATCTCAAGAGAATTCGTATTTTAATCAAACATTGGCTCTGTTTGGTAGGACTTATTTTCAATTTATTTCAGTTTTTAGCTTAATATAAGCTGTTTTGATGTGTTTGGTTCAACTTAACAATACAGCTTATAACTTTTTGTAAGTTAAAAAATTAACTTGTTCTTTGAGTAGGGGAAGAGAAACTTAATTTATAAGTAAAAAATCAGCTTATGTTTACAGCTATAAGCTAAATTATAATTGCTTTCTCACAACTCTACCAAGCGAGGCTATTGAAGGAGTATTGGTAATTTGCCCTATTTGAAACATATATAGCGGGTGTTTGGGAGGTTATATTTTAATGGGCTATTTTAATTTTTGACTATTTTAGTAGGTTAAAATTTTTATATTTAGGAAGATGATTGGATGTTTTTGTAATTGAATATGATATTTGTGGGAGAAAAAATAAAATAATTATGAATTTAATGTAATATTTTATCTTATTAACTATTTTAATCTATTTTATCTTTTTTTTTTTTTAAATTTTAACCTAAAAAATACTAAAATTTCACTTCCCAGACATGGCCATAATGAAGTTTGTCCTAAGTGTTTCAATGCGTAGTATATGAATGATAACTCTCTTAAATAAAAATAAAGTAATAAAATAATAAACAACTTGAGCAAATATACAAACATAGAAGATTAAGAAAATCATCATCCCAGTGGGGGAGAGAACCTCAAACCACCTTCAAACTCTTTTATCTCTTTTTGAGTCAACCACCACTTTTAGTTGGTTCAGTAAGATGAATCTACAAAAGAAGTGAGTATATCTACACAAAATTAAATAATATAAAGTATTAAGACATTAATTTTGTTGCTATCGATTTCTCATCACTACACAAAATTAATGTCTTAACAGGTTTGAGGGTTAATATGGACCCCACCTTGAACAAGTTGACTGGCTAATTGGTCAAATTAGCTGAATCAGTCTGATTTTTAAAACATTATTTTTGAGATGACAACTATCAATGTTGTAGTTTTTGTTTTTTAGTGCAAAGGAAAATACTCATTATTGATAAATAATGTAGTAGGTCTTAACTGTCATACAAACAAATTTATTATGAATAATTCTTTGTGCACATAAATTATTCATAAAATGAGACACAAACTTTTTATAAGTAATGAGATCCACGTGTGAGACTCACTCTCTATGAGAGGTCTGTGTTTCATCCTGTGAATGATTTTTGTATTTTTAGCATTACTAATTTATTATTTGTCATTGACTCATAATTTCAAAAATACTACTGCCACATTATTTTGAATAATTTTTTTAAGAAAAATTATGTTTTGTGAATCATTGTCCCCAGAAAATAGTACATACACAAGACGTATACGCTGGCACGATAATTTCGAAAAATTCAAACCCGATAGGCTAGGAACATGTTAAAAATTTATATTTTTATAAATACATCATATGTCAAATATATAAATAGTATATACTCAAAAGGTAATGAAAAGAAAATAAAATAAAATAACATTACACTAATTAAAATTAAAAATTCAGATTCTCTATATCTTCAACATCAAATTATCATTCACATAACAATTACCTTCTAAAGAATACAAAATAGTTGTAGAACACTGTAATTTACATGATATATTTATTTTATAAATGTTTTAAAACATTAATTTCCAAGACTGCAAAACATTATGAATATGAATAGATTCATCACATAATATGTATGCAAAAGGTGTAAAATGTCTGTAAAGTATCAAATATTATGAACTCAAATTTTAATTAAGACACGTCAAAGAAGTGTAGTAGAATAAAAAACACCTTTACGATTGTCTGTAGAGTGTCGTGTCCTATGAAGTAGAAACACCTTTTCAGAAGTCACGTACTCACGTGCTGCACATGGACACGCATCAGACATATGTCGAACACACTAGAAGAATCAAATATGTTGAGGACATTTTTTTTTTTTTGGGGGTCATATTTTCACCGTAGTAGCATACTTAAGATTGATAAATTTGATAAGAATAAATATGTGACATAGAATAAGTACATAAAATTACATGTTTTGCATGCGTCCTGATTTTTAAAAAAGTTGTTTGTTCCACTTGTCCAAATCGTGTCACGCCACCTCCTAAAAGTGTTCATGCTTAGAGTCCTTAAATATTTTATTCATCAATTTAGATATTTTTAACAATTAAAAAAAAAAATTCATTTAAGTGTTTTCCCCTGATTAATCATGCTAAATTCAAATTGTAATCCCTATCTTTTATCTATTCATATAATTAATCACGGTATTGCGATGGCACTGGCAGGACCAACATTCATGTATTCAACTGGAAACATGCAAGTGCTATGCATAACAGATCCAGAGATGGCTAAGGAAGTGAGCCTCTGTACCTCATCGAGCCTTGGAAAACCTTCTTATCTATCCACGGACAGGGGGGCTCTGCTAGGCCAGGGAATTCTTACTTCAAATGGACCTCATTGGGCCCACCAGAGGAAAATCATTGCTCCTGAATTTTACCCTGAAAAGGTTAAGGTAAAACACAATCATACTTGATAACTATCTGTTGGCACATAAATTTTAAACCAAATTTATGTTTAAATTCAAATACAGTCAATGACACACATAGAGCCTACGATAAGATTGTTGTAGGCAATCACTTCCCAAAATGATTAACTTGCTCCGTTGAAGTGTATAAATAAAACGTCGTATCTTAACGACGTTATTCAATATGCTCAAATGACACGTGGAGCCTACGAAAGATGACACCTATAGAGCCTACAGCAAGGACACCACACAGGATGAAACCCCAAAGATCAATCCGATTAATCAGATATACGATTAATCAGATAGCGCTATTATTCAAAATTCAAATAGGCGCTATCATGCAATTTGAAATTCAAATTAAAGATGAAGCATTCCTATCACCTGATGGCCCTCCATAAATATGAGGACCATCACACAAGACGGGGATCAGAAAAATCAGAAGTGGAAAAAAAGAGAGAGAGAGAAAGAAATTGAGAGCTAAAGAAGTCGTTACAAAAAAAGAAGAAGAGAAGCCTAGAGAACTGAAGAGCCTACGCTAATGGCGATGAATAGGTAATGAATAGGTAAACGGTTCCAAACCCAAACTGTATTTTGTATTCGAGGGTTCAAAACCCATAACAATCTCAATAAAATATTTCTTTTTTTTAAATTGTCTTTTGTTGTTTATTTTGTTCTTCATTAATCGGAGGTTTCATTTGTATAAAATGTGTAATTAATGATTTGAAATACAGATCGGAAATAAGAACATGCTATTCAAATAATTAACACTGTTTTGTCCAAAAAAACTAAACAGTGGACATTTGTAACATAAAATTTTAAAATGGGTTGAAACACTTCATGTTTTAAAATTTGTGTCTACACTATCCAGCTGCTCTTCTTAATCAGCATAAGAAAAGAAAATATAGAAGAAAAAAAAATCTCTATTCATTCACCATAGTCCCTTCTGAATCCTGATTGAGTCACTGCTTTGTAAGAATCAATAAGAAAGATGTGTCATATTTGCTCACTTTTATGTTCATCCACCATGAAGATGAGTGAACAAAACTGTTATGATCAATTTCTTGTTTTTCAACAATATGCGCTTGAAACAAAAAAAAAATAAAAAACAGAAAACCAAAGGCTTCTTTTTCACTGAGCTATACGGTGATGGTGCAAAAACAAAGAATCAAGCAATTGAAGCTGGATTCATGGTTTCAGCTTCAATTGCCCATACAGTGATGTAACTTTTGATAATCTGGATTACAGAAAATGAAACCATGAATCTGGATTTTGAAGCTGGATTCATGGTTTCACTGAGCTATACGGTGATTATTAGCTTTCATATTACCAAAAGTTACATCACAATCACAGAAAATGATAGCATCATTGCCCATATATATAAGAACAAACAACTAAAAAGTTAAAGTAGGCTCATTTCATGCACACAAAAAGTGGGAAGGGGGAAAAAGTACTTTTTGAAATGACATATTCATTGTCAGCCCTCTTTGATGTAACTTTTGGTAATATGAAAGCCAATAATCAAAAAGTCAAAAATCAAAAGTACCCCCTATTCAATTTCACAATAATCAATCAGATTTACCTATTTTTACCTTATAAATTGTAATTGGCAGCTGTACCAAATACTACACATTCTTAAAATAAAAATAAAAAAAGAAGAAGCAATAAGCTGCACCAAGCGGGCCGCTGTCTAAATGATTGTAACAAGCCTTTTTATTTTTATTACTTACTTATAAAACTGTATTTATTCTGCTCTGGATGGTAGGCAGTATAAATCTTTGCTTTGCTTTTTTCAATAGGATATCTACATGAGTAATTAAATAATTATAGGAAAAGCATTATAACATTAATTTGAATTGAGAATTAGCTCCAGTACCACTCTGTTTGATTCCAATATAACCCTAGTCAAGAAATCTCTCTACTGCTAGATGTTCCCTAATTAACAACAGTAAGTATAGGATTAACTAAGAGTCCAGTGCGAAAAATATTCTCTCTCTCTCTCTCTCAAGTACCTTCTCAACAACAGACAAACCACATGGCTTACCCAAAGAACACAACACAACCTTTCACTGGATTTGAGTAACTACAATAATTATTTATCCTTACTACATCAACTACAATGAGTCAAACTAAAATGTTAAAACTGGTCAGTAATTTTCATACAAGCACATGACTACTTTTCGCAATACACACACTTCAACTATTAGGCTTAAATAATTATGGAAAGCACTTTCTAGGCCTAATATTTAAATCAATACTGTAAGTTTCATCTTCTTATTCAACCAAATAATTCATCCAACTCCTTTTGAAGGGCATGGTGAACCAAATGGTGGACTCAATGACTGCAATGCTTAAAACTTGGGAGAATAGAATCGAAATTGTGGGAGGAAATGCAGAAATCAGAGTTGATGAGGATTTGAGGATTTTGTCTGCAGATATAATCTCAAAGGCTTGTTTTGGAAGCAACTATTCCCAAGGGGAAAAAATATTCCTACAACTCAGAGCCCTTCAAAAGGTCATGTCTAAGGGAAACATCGGGGTCCCTGGATCAAGGTACATTGTCCCTAAATCCTTTTGTCCCTCTCTCTCAATGCATTCCTAGTAGGAAGGATTATGTATGAATTTCAAGACATGATAATCTTGAAACATGATCCTATAACTTATACATTGCATATATTAACAAGTGAATATAGTAAGCACCCATTTGATAGTGTTTTTGTTTTTGTTTTTGTTTTTTGTTTTGTGTTTTCAGGAAAAAAAAAAAGAAAAAAAGAAAAGAAAAGTTCAAAAACACGTATCACTTTCATTTTCGGATGAAAAAAATGTCAAACATTCAAAAACAATTTTATGGTCTTTCTTGAAAAGTGGTTTGTTTTAAAAAAAAAAAAAAAAAACTATTTCGGAAACAATTTTCCAATGATGGTGTGTTTGGTAACGTTTACGTTTTCAGTTTATATTTACAAAAAATTTATAAACTGGTTTTTGTTTATTTTTAAAAAAATATAAACTACAAACACGTTTGGTAATTGACAAAATGTTTAAAAAATTTTAAAAATATAAAAAATAGTGAGAAATGGCAAGTGGTGGCGAAAAACGGTGGTGGAAAGTGGTGTCGGTGGGTGGTGGGTAGCTGGTGGTGATGGGTGGTGGCGGGTGGGGGGTGGTGGTAGGTGGGTGGGTGACGGTGGCGAGTGGTCGGTGGTAGTTAGTAGGTGGTGGTGGCGGTGGTGGCGGATGGTGAGTGGTGGTGGTGGTGGCAGGTGGGTGGCAGATGGCGGGTGGTGGTGGAGTGGTGGTGGTAGGTGAGTGGTGGTGGTAGGTGAGTGGTGGTGGTAGGTGAGTGGTGGTGGTAGGTGAGTGGTGGTGGTAGGTGAGTGGTGGTGGTAGGTGAGTGGTGGTGGTAGGTGAGTGGTGGTGGTAGGTGAGTGGTGGTGGTAGGTGAGTGGTGGTGGTAGGTGAGTGGTGGTGGTAGGTGAGTGGTGGTGGTAGGTGAGTGGTGGTGGTAGGTGAGTGGTGGTGGTAGGTGAGTGGTGGTGGTAGGTGAGTGGTGGTGGTAGGTGAGTGGTGGTGGTAGGTGAGTGGTGGTGGTAGGTGAGTGGTGGTGGTAGGTGGTGGTGAGGGGTGGGTGGGGGGTGGTGGCGGCTGAAGACGGTGGTGGAAAATGGTGGTGGGTGGTGGCTAGTGTTGGGTAGTAAAAAAAAAAAAATTCAAAACTTAAAACGGAAACACATTTTTTGTGTTTTCATTTTTTGGCCAAATTTATAAACTGAGTCCACTTATTTATAAATCAGAAATTTTACCAAACAAGTTTTTATTTGAGTTTTTAAAATTTTTGTAAATATAAACAGAAAACTGAAAACGTAAGTGTTACCAAACGGCATGTTCTGGAAAATGGAAATAAGAAAATAAAAAACTAACACGCAACCAAACAGACATTTATATTTGTATATTATGTCTCTTTGCTACTCAACAAGTTGTCTGTCAAAGTTTATAATGCTTTTAAATGTAACAGATATTTGCCAAGCAAAAATAACAGAGAGATATGGAGATTGGAGAAAGAGATTTATTCAATGATATTAAATGTAGTTAAAGCACGTAGTGAGGCTAAAAGTGAGAAAGACCTCTTACAAATGATACTTGAGGCTGCCAAGAATTGCAGAGACAATGGTGACCTACCACCGGGTATTACTCCCAACAAGTTCATAGTGGATAATTGCAAGAATATATACTTCGCTGGCCATGAGACCACAGCTGTATCAGCATCATGGTGCTTGATGTTATTGGCTGCATATCCAGAATGGCAAGCTCGTGTTCGTTCTGAGGTGCTTGAGATCTGTGGGAAGAATCTTCCAGATGCAGATATGCTTCAAAGCATGAAAACAGTAAGTTAGCCTTGCAATTTGTAAAAAAGAAAATGTCTAGAAATACATAAACTGATCATAGAATAGAACCGGACACAACTCTCTACATAAGATGAGTCTTGCCTTTATGTAGGTCACACACCCATGTGAGAGCGTTGTGTCCGGTACTGTGATAGGTTTCTATACAAGTAGAAGAACCGAATTTGTATCCCCAATGCATGTACACTTCACAGTCGTCCTCCTTGTTAGCTTGTACATACGTGTCAACTCATTCTCACTCGTACATATCATTGGCAATAAAAAAACCTTTAACCTAACAGCACAGACACGCCAATAAAATTTTTTTCATAAAAAAAATCATGACACGACACGTGAGGGACATGCGCTAATATATAGTTTTATATAATGTCATATACATGAATAAATAACAGAATAAATAACACTAATTTTTGAAGCTTAAAGAAAGGAGGATTAATAAGGTATAAATCTACAAATTTTTCTATCATTGTAGGCTAAGTCATTTTGTTCAAACTTCTAAGCAATGGACACATGTGTCCCCAAAGTATCTGAAACATGTTTGGTCTAATTTAAATAAATAAATAAACAACCTAATAAGACATGTTTTTATGTGGGTCCAACACGTGTCGCGAGGACACGCAATCTCTTAGAAGTGTCCATGCTTTTGAACCCTTTACAATAAACAAAATATTTTATAATTTTAGGGTAAATAATGAAGTCACTAGCAACATTCAGAAATTGTTTTACTCTTCATAGCACACAGGAAATTACCCTAAAAACTTCTCATTTTACTTAAAATTGTGTCTACATGAATACATTACCCTATTCATTGATAATACTTATAAATATACAAAAGATTATAATTTATAAGTAAACATAATTATGGGAGATATTATTATTACAAATTATTTAGTCATTTATAATTACCATAACTACCAAAGTCCAACTCTATATTACCTGGAATGTGGGTCGTTCCAGTATGCAGAGCATGAATAGAAGTGTTGTATGCCACATGCTCTAAAATATAGTTTGATAGGGCTAGACTTGTACATGTTACAATGTTAGAATTTAACTCACTTCCAAAACAATCTTCTTTTAATAATTAGACATCCAATAAACACAATATATATATTTTTTTCAAATTAATCATGTAAAAGCACATTTCTAGGAACATCGAAGCCCATTTTTTTAAATTATGTCCTGCCAAAACTCTACACTTCCTAGATTGTCATTCATTATATTTGATTTTTTCATCCTGAGGACATGAGATCATTTGTTCTTGCTAAATTTATTGTTTTGAAATGACTAGGGTAATTGTCATTTGTTACACTAAATATAATATCATTGTGTGTTCCAAAATGTAAATCAATAAGTTTTAGCATTTTTTGATAAGCTTAATTTAAATTAATTTGCAGCTAACTCTGGTGATTCAAGAGACATTGCGCCTTTACCCACCAGTAGCATTTGGGGTAAGAGAAACTTTAGAAGATATAAATCTCAAAGACATTCACATTCCAAAAGGCATCAACATTCAGATCCTCAAACCAATTCTGCAACAGCATCCAGACATGTGGGGACCAGATGTACACCAGTTCAAACCAGAAAGATTTGCACATGGAACTATTGCGGCTTGCAAAATTTCACAGGTTTTTATGCCATTTGGAGTTGGGCCTCGCACCTGTGCAGGACAACATTTTGCCATGATAGAATTGAAGGTGATTTTATCTCTCATTCTGTCAAAGTTTAGCTTCTCACTCTCCCCAAAATATCGACACTCCCCAGTATTTAGGTTAGTTATAGAGCCTGAGCAAGGAGTTATACTCCATGTCAAGAGAGTGTGATCTTTTCTGTTTTCTTTGAGAAAAGATTTGGCAGACATACAAACTCGTATTTGTCAAGTAAAGAAGTGCAAATTTCCATGCACATTTTGTACTACTAACTAAAAAAAAAGTACTGGATTATTTATTTTTTAGGGCAGGCCTTGGCACAAAGATAAGGTTACTCTCCATTTTGATCTGCGTGTCCTGGTTTCAAACCACAGAAACAACCTCTCCATATACAGGGGTAAGATTGTGTACATCTGATCCTGCCCACATCCCGCAATGGTGGGAGTCTTCTGCATTGAGATTGGGCTTTATTTTTTTAACACAAACATGATGCTTTGGAAACACTTCTGATATGAAACCATTCAGATGAATCTGTTTCTCTCCTATTGTCAAGGCTCATCCATTCTTTTACAGAGGAATTGCCATGGGGCCTTCCTAGCTTAATTTTGGATTGCTTTTTACACCACCATTTTCTTCAATGAAACACAACCTTACCCACCACCATTACAACCACCTATTAACATATTTGTCATCCCCACCCACTATAACATCATCCCATCAACTTTCCCACAACTTTGACCCCAACAGCCACCACTTCAACCATCTTACAACTCACCATCTTACAACTCTCTGACACTTATCTGCCAATCACTGCAACAGATTTCCCACCAACGCTAGCATCTGCTAAACACTTCCCTCCTAGCAACAGTTACCGTTGAAATAAACAAAAGTAATCCATTCCTTTTAACACAAAATAATTGAAACAAACATAAATAATCCATTCCTAAAACACAAAATAATAATACCTTCTCATTATCTCTTCAACTACAGTCCTAGAGTGCGCAACTGGCAGCCCAAGAGAGTATTTATACCATACACCATTCTAGTGAATACCAAAACCTTAACCCAAAGACCTTGACAACATCAAACTAGTACGAAAAGCTAACCCACCCATGTCTCTCCAAGGCCCAAGGGATCTAGGCAACACCTTTTCCTTTACCCTAGAAAACAATTTAGAGAACAATGTCAGACCGAAAAATGTATCCTTTCCTTAGTGACAATTCAATGGTTTGCTTAAGCGGTCTTAACATCAGAAAACATAGCAAGCAACTGTTGTGAAATAACCCAAACACACAAACAATAGCAAGAAGAAAAACTATCAATCACAGCAAGAAACAATACAATGTGGTTCGGCAAGATTGCCTACGTCCATGGCTCACATCAGTTTCACTATATCAGAGAGAATGAAACAAAAGAGTACAGTGTGGCTGCTACAGAAAGCAACAATACATAGTGCTAGGTTTACTTCAACAATTACCCAACTACCCTTACCGAACCCCGCAACCCTTAGGGGGAGGCCCCCCGAACCCCCCATGGGATCGAGGGCTTAGTGTCTGATACTATCAGGCTCCATAAAAGCCAACAGCAACTACTAACTTGCTTTGGCTATTACTATTAGATTAGGTTCCGTTGTATTAGGAGCTTCTAAAGAAAAATCAAATAGCTTTGCTTGGCAACTATTATCTTCTTTCTACTAGTTGCTCTAATTTACAAGCCATTTGGTGTAGAACCATGTAGCTTGCTCCGTAATGCCTTGTGCAAGTATAGGGACTATGTGGTGTTTACATTGTTTTCTTGCAATTGGCCCCCCAATGCAAAATACACATATCTATCCCCGCTTTGCTTTTGTTTTCCTCTCATACTTTTGTTCCCTCATAAAGGTGAAAGTTAGTGCACTATTTTAATTGATTGGGATGGAATGGAACGGCTACTCATTAAACTCTTTTATGGGGTGATCATTCCCTTACAATGTTGAATAATAATTTCATTTGCAATGTATTTATTATTATTTTTTTTAGTCAACCAAAAAAAGAAATAAACATTTTGATATAATTGCATTTCAATCCATTCTAATGAATCAAACACTACCTAAAAATCTTCGCCGTTTTACAATTTTTATTAAAAGAGACTCCATTAATACTCTGTTGTCCTCCTTCCCTTTAATTCAGGTATGTTTGTGTCCTTCATTCTCTATTTTGTCTTGATTTTTTTCTGGGAAAGGTCTTTTTTTAATACCCACTCACACATTTATTTATAAATTAAATGGGGGGCAATCCTATTTCTGGGTTTTTCATTTTGCAGGCTTTCACATTTCAAATTTTCATACTATTTTCCTTTTCAAACTGTCTTAGTTCATATCTAATAAAACTGTGTTGCTTAAAGGGAAGGTAAAAATTAATTGTGTGAAAATTAATTTAGAACAGTAACTCGACCCGTTAAAAGTGCTGCAGTAGTGTAAGGTCCGCACCACCCTACTCTGGCCCGCCCAATGACCAAATCCTGCCTCCGCCCCTGCTAATAGGAACTTGAACATTAGTGCATGAACCAAAAGATTTAAACCCAGTAACAAGTTTGTTGTTAGACCCATTTTATTTATTAATCATATACAGCAGCTCCAAAAGATTAACATTCGTTCATATGGAGTATAAATTTTTCTTAGAAACATTATGTCATTCCTACAAGTGATTCCTCATGAAGGATTGGAAGTACTATATGAGGATTTCAAGATCAAATAGAATGCATTTATTTTAATTACTCCTAAGCAACTTAATTGCCTGAAATAGGAGATCAAATAGATGTTCCTCCTTTTCCCCAATAAATTAACAGAGACATTAATCTACATTAAATAAAACTCAACCATAAGTTTCATGCTTATATTGTGGCCCCCAAGCCAACCAAATGAGAGTTCCAACAACTTTCAAACTTTTGTCTTCTCTAATTGATTTTCTTTAGCTGTCATTGCTAAATGTCTACCAATTCAAAATCAATGGTGCAGCCACAAGTGTTAACTATGTTCACCTCACATCCAATGAAATCATATTACAAAAGCCCCCATCTTTTTTATCTTTAAAAAAATAGAAGTGCGTCAACTTTATTTAATCTCGATAGAAGGAACTCAGATATTCATTCCGTTTTTTTTTTCCCCTATAAATTCACCAGAAATCCTGAAAACTTCATCACTTATTCCTTTAAATATTTTATTTCTCTGGAACTTTTCAGGTTTTAGTGTCTCATAATTTACTTTAAGGAAGCTCAAAAATTACTTGTCAAAAACTAATAATAATAATTGCTCTACACAATTGTTACCATACATCACATTCTCTCCAAAGATCAAAACTTGCTCTATACCAAACTAATGTAACTCAGTAGGAATAAATTGTGCAGCATAAGAAGAAACAAACAGGAAGAACAAAAAAGAGAAAAGAAAAGAAAAGAAAAGAAAAGGACAATAAGAAAAAGAAATAGAAGAAAGAATCATGAATAAAAAATCCAAGTTTCTAGCCTCCTGGACACAACAAAAATGAGAACGAGAATAGGAGACAAGCAATAGAAAGAGATACCAAACAACATAGAAGCAAAGGCAACCTCTCTAATAACTTGAATCAATTCACCAACGTTTGTCATCTCCCTAATAATGCTATTTTAAGACTGTCTACAATCTTACTCACCAAAACCCTACACAAACCAAATGACAACAAATTAAATCCCCTAAACATTCATAACCTCAACGATAGTAGCCAAGTAGTAAACCACCCAACATTCTGTCCAATTAGGACTAGTACTATAAGGGTCTTTGGTTCACAGGAATGGCGTGGAACAGAATGATCATTCAATCAAATTGGCCATTCTCATATTTAGTTGACTAAAAAAATAATATGAAAAAACATTGCAAATGAATCTACTTGAAAACCTAATATTGGTAGGTTTTGGTTACCTAATTGTATAGAATTAGGATTCTTATGGTTAGACTATTATAAATAGTCGCGAGGATTGTAGGTTTTGGTGAGAGAGTAGTGCAGGAAAACATAGATGTAAGGGGTGAGAAACAATAGGGCACCAAGATGAGAAAGGGCTTTGTTTTTAGGCTCAACTACCCTTAAGCATGGGTTCAAGTACAAGTGGTATTAGAGCTTAAAGTTGCGAATCCAAGATGCGGTTGGTAGAGGGGAGCCTCACGACACAAAGTGAACAAGGAAAGAAAAAATCAATGAAACCGAGTATTAGGATCAAAGGTTGACATTAGTTTTTATTTTATTTTATCTTTTTCTTTCTGGTAATCGCGTGGGTGACCAAGGCACAAAGTTACAAGGTTCTTATTGTCTCGGTTACATAAGAACAAGATTTGATTGTTTGATGAGCCTATGACTTGGCCAAAAAGTGATCCTATTCGATGCAAGGGAACATGGTCATGTAAAATTGACGGTTCCATCTTTTTTTTGTTAGATTGGTGTATGCCTAATAGGAAAAACATCAAGGCGAATATGTCTCTAAGGTTTTTAGGTATTGCGGTTTCATTGGTGCTATCAAAAATTTCAAATTCTGATCAGTTTAATGGGATTGGACAGATTCAAGAGCAATCAAAGGTGATGATTGCATGTGATCTAGGTAATCCAAGAGCATTCTGATTCAATCAATAGAGGAAGAATTGATGGCTATTTGACAACTTGTGCAGACTCATGGGGTATGTTATTATGACCAGAAGGGAGTTGTTGTCAAGTATCAGATGAGTTGTACGAGTAATAGGTGAACAGTGAGAGCAATAGTTGCAAGGATATTGGCCAAAGAGGATGGCAACAGGTTGTTGAATCTTCACATAAGGAAGCTCCAAACATAGAAATTGAGATGAAGGCCGCGACAAGGTGTACATCGAAGGAGGATGCGGGGCTCTTTTTGTGGAGGTTTGGTCTGTGCAATGGAGAGATTTCAAGAAGAAGGTACAACAAATCTCTCAGGATGACCTCAAGCAGGAGAATATAGATGGAGTCATGACAAGCACCCAAGGTGTGGGTGCAGGCACTATGGTGTGAAGTGCAAAAGAGGGGCAATCAATTCAAAGGGTGCAATCACCTTGGTAAAGGTGTAGTGTCATGCTAGACTAAAGCGCTCGAGGGAGTACAAGGCATCCAAGTTAGGGGGTGCAGATTTACATCAGCTCACATGGATGGAGGGGGTGATTATTAGGATTTGTCCAGCCACGTGATATATGTAGTTCCCATATAGTTATAGGTTGGTTTATACATGTATTTGGGTTAAGATAGCAAAATCCGGAATCTACTGAGAAACAATATGTGTAGGTTTTAGTTACTTAATTGTATAGAATTAGGATTCTTGTTAGGGGAGAGCATAGTCCGGTTTGGATCAATTGGAGATGAAACCAAGACCAATCCATTGTTTACGGTTTCATAAAAATTGGAACCAAACCAAATCATTAAAATTATGGAGCTGATCCGAACCAAACCATTTAAACATGGTTCGGTTCGATTTGGAACCATGGTTTCACATAATCTGTTCAAAAGAAAAATCATATAACATTTTTAAAAAAAATCAACCTACCATAAATTTTAAAGATAATAATAACATGCCCATCAAACAAACTGCTCTCATAATATTCACTAGTTAAGCAAACATAACATCAAGCAAATATTGTTCAACATTAATCTGTAATGATTTCTCGAAACATAAACTTTCAAAACATAAATATGCACATTATTCTACCATTAACTTAAACAAATATAATATCTAGCAAATAAACATCTTGGTTTAAGTTATACGGTCAAGCTCAGTTCAAATCTAAAACCGTGGACCTAAATTTGGAACCAATTCGGAAAGACCAGTTCCCCAATTTTCCAAACCAGGACCAAACCACGAATTAAAAAAATTAAACCAAACCTACAAGGATTGGTTTGGAAAGGTTTGGTTTGCGGATTTTGCAGTTTCCTTGCTCAGCCTTAATTCTTGTGGATAGACTATTATATTTAGGTTTTGGTAAGAAAACCCCAATGCTCCCTCCACGGTTTAGGGATCGAAACTTCTTAAGTGCTAACAATTCCTTGGGGCCATCAGAAAGGAGAAAAACCCATGAATTAACCGTGGTGCACTTACGGAAAATTTCTTACCGAGGGCCTGTGCACCCCTAGGGGTGAGTCGGGCTTTGATCCAAACACCTCGGTGCCAATACAAAAATATATATAGGTTTTGGTAAGAGAGTAGTGAGGGGAAAACAGAGATGTAAGAGAAAATAAATACTTGTGTGATTGATTGTTCTCTTGGTGTATGCGTAGGTGTGCTTCTATTTGCGTTGGTGGGATGTGACGTAAATTCTAGCAGAATCATCATTCACATTAACCATCAAATTGTCCATTCCCATGTTTGGTTAACTAAAAATAATAATAAAAAATATATTGTAAATGGAACATCATTAACGGGAATGACCATTCCATAGACTTTTCATATGGAATGACCATTCTATTACATTTCACCCTAGTGAACCAAATAGAGTATAACACTTTCAAAAGGTGAACAGGTATTTACTACAGGGTTGTTTTGCAACAACCTAAAAAAGTATACTTATTGTCTTTTTATCCTATTTGGATTACATCATCCCTCTATCACATTACACATCTTTTCATAAAAAGTAAAAAGTTACTAAAATAACTAATTTCCAAATAACACCTAAGGCCTCGTTTGGGAACAGGCTAATTTAGTAACTTTTTGGCTATTTGGCTGAAAAAGTAGGTAAAAAAAACTTATATGTTTGGGATGACTTTTTGGCTAATTAGGAAAAGATATGCAAAAATTAGAGAGAAAAGAGAATCTTTGACTTTTTGGTATGAGTTGTTGACTTTTTGCCTAAAAAGGTAACTTTTTAGCTTTTTGGCTAAAAAGGTAAGTCCCCAAACGGGGCCTACGTCAATAATAATATGTAGAACTTTTCGTCCTTCAATTTTTACCTGGATTTCATTTTGACCCTCATCTTCTTATTACATTGAATCATCAGACTTCAACTCATGTTTTAGACTCCGTTTGTGTTTGAATTTATGAATTTAAAATGCATGGATTTGGACATTATTCATTAAACGAGAAAGTAAGAAGAAAAACTCAAATTTAAATTTGATAGTTTATCTAAATATTTCAAGATTCTATTAAAGAGCTTACTATGATGCATTTGAAACACCCATGCAAAACTAGTTATTTGAAATCAAATCATGCTAAGGATTTCCTTCTATCTATAAAGATGCTACTAAAATAATATTTTCTAGTTTTTTTATCCACCTATAATAATTAACTCTTTAATATTTTTATAAAATCAAATCTCAAATACCTTGATTTGAAATCCACATGTATCCAAACGGCAACTTATTCCTCCCCTCACTTACCATTTAAAATTTGAATGGAAAGTTCACCCCTGAGAGCATGTGAGCAAGTTTAGAGAAAGAAAAAGGCAAAAAAATTATAGGGCATATTATTCTTCTCACCCTCCAATTTTCACTAAATTCCATTGTCAGAGAATGTGAATTGCATTTATATCTAGGGTTTACGAGAAGTGAAAAGAAGTGAGAAAGGGGTTACCCATATACCTATACTACTATTAGAAGTGAACCTTGGTGTCCAAACTTTGATGACTTCTCCTTATGGCACTTGCCCTCATTTTCCTATTTGAAATTAAAAAAAAAAAATTAGATAGTTGATAAGAGTAGCACTCAAACATTGGACAAAGTCTCCTACCAGTTGCATGGCGTACCATATATAGTAAAAGTTTTATTTTATTTTTATTTGCACTAGTTAATATATATGTGGTTATCTATACTATCTATCTATGCTATTATTAAAAAGTGAACAACTTATATGCACGTGACTTATTTTTCTATTCCAAATATAAAAAAAATAAAAAATTAGATAGTTGACCAGATTAGAACTCAAACTTAGACCTTAAGTTTAATAAACAAGCCTCTTATCAGTTGCATAGAATACCATATCAAGTGAACAATTCACAAGCTTCTTTTGTCCTTTTGTCAAATGAATTTTTTTCCTATCAAAAATAAAAGATTAAATAGTGAGGTGAATCAGACTTGAACCTTTGCTATTTGAGTAACACAAATTACATATTTTTAACTCAAAATTAAAATTTATATTTTACTGATTTAGGAATTGTTTGGATGATCTAAATAAGTGTACTTTTTGAATTTTTATGAAATATGAGTTGAGTATGGATTAAGTGAAGTGGTGTGCTAGAAAGATGATGTACCTTAAATAAGATGATATGAATTAAATAAGATAGTAACTTTTTAACTTTTTGAATTTTTTAAGTTATGTCAAACTAAGCATTAATACACTCACTAGCGTGTATATATATATATATATATAGAGAGAGAGAGAGAGAGAGAGAGAGAGAGAGAGAGAGAGCCTATCTCTCAAAACAAACAAGGTATTAGTAATACCAAGGTATTAGTAATACCCTCCCTATCTCTCAAAACAAACAAGGTATTAGTAATACCAAGGTATTAGTAATACCCTCCCTATCTCT